CAGTAAATACTATATTCATTGATAGACCACGATGTCATTGATAACAGTAAATGCCAAATAATACCGAGCATGTCATAAACATATATTGTCCGCTTCACTACGAATGAAGTTACTTACCAATATGTGCCCATGTTTGTTGGTAAGTGGACTCGGCGTGGTTGTACCACATTTTAGCCATCAACCATGTGTACTGGGGGTCCGATGGAAGGAACACCTTCAAGACAGAATATCAACAGATAACATGAGTGCTTGGTTCGTGGGTCGCTGTAGATATTGGCATTACTTGAGATGGGTAGAATGTAAACGAACAAGTTGTTTCTTTAAATACAACTAACATCATATCGCAGTGGTACTACAAATTTAATAGTAAATAAAAAATAAGTCAACGCACCGGATTATCTTTGTTTCTTGTTTGATATAGTTGTATCGCAACAGGTTTTAACTCTTTAGCATTGTTCAAGTAAAATAAGGCGATAGGAGCGGCCACCTGAAATAGTATTATCATATAATACATCATATCATATCACTTCATATTATATCATAACATATCTGTATTATAACATAACATCGCCACATCAATATCAAATCACACATATACCATTTTTTATCATATTCTATCATATCATATCTTATTATAAGTGTTATGAGAAGATTCACCTTTGACACACAAAATATGCACATTAATATAACTTACTTGACCTCTCTGACACGGTATATCTGTTAATATCTCTAAGTTAATCACAAACATTCTCCGCAGTTCTATGGCAGCCGCCAGAGAATAACCTTCCAGAAAGGGCTCCACCATGCGGTCAGTTACGTATAGCCTACAAATATACGACGTCATAATTACAATGTTACCTCCACGCACATAACTCCTGACAGGTTAATATGTAATACATTATAATAATATATATTTGTTAAACTCATTCCCCAGATTTTGATCACATGACAATATAGAAAAAATGTAAAATGAACTTGATAACACTGGATTTTATTGGTACATAAACATGAACGACTGAAGCGTAGCCGTTATTTCAGTAGCAGGGTCATTGTGCTGCTAGGTTCTACAGAATAACAAGCTCGGTCTGAACGAATACTTCTACCCACTACGGAGTTACGCTAAGGACGAGTGGACATAGTCTTGTTTGTTGGTCGTTATGGTAACAGCCGATGGAATGTTTAGAATGTTACACACAATATACATGGCAATCTTATGAGTGTAACCTGAAGTGATCGTCTTCATCTAAGGGTCGACCAAAGGTCAACTTGCTGAATGTGCTTTTGAGGTGATTAAAACGTACTTTTCTGGTATCTTGGTACACAGGCTGATCAGCATGGGGCAACATCCACCAAGTCGCTGCTCACCAAAATGTTTATCACTCTGCCAGTCATGATCTAAACACTACGGACATAAATTAATAAACTATCAATGTGCTAGTGTAATATCACATACTACTGTGGATATACTTCGTAATCAAAGCAAACAAAGTAACATCTACTATACTGTAAACTAATTAATTATTCACTGGGTTTTAATTTCGCTATTCTCGCTGATAAGTGAAATCCGCTAAATGATATGTGCACGTGTACGTGTAAAATGAAACTCATTGTTTGGTAATCCCAGTGAATATAATTATAATCAAGTATCAAACAGTAAAATTAAAATCCAGTGAAATTTAATGCATTTACAGTATTGCAATTGACAACAGTGATGTTCCATATCATCGATACATTTCTCTAACGTGATGCCCCGATTTCAGGTCACGTGCTACACACTAGTAAATGTAATTAGTGACTAACGTTCAAATAATGAGCACAGTAAAGTGAAAAGATTGCATTTTACCATTGGTGACAGGGACATTGTTAATATTTTGACATTCTTTCTAAAGAAAAAGGTTTAACATTGAATATAATAAACCCGGGGGTCACTGGCCTTTCGATTTGGTAAGGGTGTACGGCAGGGGGTAGTTATCGTCGCTTGGGACTCAATTCACGCGCGTACGCAGGCGACGACCCCCTCCGCTTTAAATAATCTAATATATCCATGTTAAATGTTTCAAAATTGTACAAATTTATTTATGTACGCTCTCACATAACAGTATTCTAGTTGACACGCACTACAAAGTTAGTATATTAAATAACATTACCTTATGTTATCATCATTCATTGTAGGTAAATTATGTTACCGAGTAAATATGGTGAATATTGTATTTTATTCAGTTGCCGTGGGAACATCCAACTTTTGTGAGACGATTGCTTACCCTTGGTTTCTCAAAATCGCCCCGATAAACAGACATCATTTCCTCGAAAGACTCCCATTCACCACATCCAATGTCTTCAAGTTGATTTTCTTCAATGAGACGTTGTTTTCTTTTACCAATATCCCACTGTAAAATACATGTTATCAGAATAGCAACTGACGTCATCAGCACGTTGCTGTTTAACACATAATACTGATAACCAATGAGTTAAAACCTTTTTTTTTCGAAGTGTCAACCTTGAAAGGTATTTTTACCATTGACCTACCTTTTCGGGAAACGAGAATTCTTCATCAACAGGTAAAGATTTCACCTAAAACATCAAATTGTGACACTTTTGAATGATTTTTATGAATATAAGAGAATAATGCATAGACAAAATAGTAACGTTTATGGTGATTGTGCGCGTCAAATAAAACTGTGAGCGCCATACTTTATTAATTTGTCAGAATTCTGGAAACTAACTTCAAGTTGTAGAAAAGTGTATTTTTCAAAGCAAAATTAAACCACAATTTGTAATGGCAATTTTAAAAGTAAAATAAAATACTACGCTATTTTGGAAAATTGTTTTTCAAAGCCTAGTAACAACACTCAACTGCGTGTATTGCGTTGCAAGTCGGAAAACTGCTGTTCACCACATGAGATAGGGAATCTTTTAAACGGAGAGCACAGTTTTCTGATAAAGGAAAGGTTTACCATTTGAATTCAGGGGGGCTATTTTAACATATACGTTTACACCAGTTATTTTTTCAATGTAGTATATAAATATAAATACATTTTGCTCACCGTTAATCTACCCCCCCCCCCAATCTACATACTTCCATATACAGCTTCCCCTTTGCAACCCTTTTTAAGTGCATCTTAGTTATGCACTAAATAAACGCCATATACTTTTATTCATCATGATGATAACAAAAACAGTACAATTCGACCGATACTAACATGGATTCTGTTCTTTCCATTATACGGCACGTGTGTTTGATTTCAGTGGAATGTGCATTGTGAAGAATACGAGATATGACTTTATAATCCGAGCCACATTGTTCTGGGTCACTGCGAGCATAGTGGATTTCATATTCGCGTACGATATACATCATCAGTTGCCAGGACCTAGACTTCAGTTACGTTAATTCAAATGCCCCGACATTAATCTTGTGATATATATATATATATATATATCTTATTCATACACAGCATCAACAAATGTGCCACTCATCTCAACTTATACCGTGATGCAAGACATAAAAATTAATATAGCGAAAAATCAGAGCTGCAGATCGACAGTGGATAGTGACACCGTTTGTATTTGTGTAAGTGTCAAAATATAGTAGTGTCTAGACATACCACTCACTGACTCGAAGAATGTCATCTACAATGTAACCAACGAATATTATTATAAACATGGCTTACGGTGATTACTCTAAATGCACGAAGTCACCCTAGTCGTCCCCGGCGTTGATAAACACGTAACACCCGTTTGATGTTTAGTGTTTCAGTAAATCGCTGTAATTAGCCATTATCAATTCATTAACTGTAATGAACATGACCCATGTCCAGTCATCAATAAGTATAATACAATATAGTAAAACATAACCCGAGTGCAATACTCTGTGCATGACGGACAATTTCGACCATTTAGCTTTTTGTAACCACAATAAACCTCATTTCTTTAACTATATTAATCAAATTAACTATATTTAACTATATTAATTAACTATAATTAACTATATTAACTATATTAATATTAACTATATTAATATTAACTATATTAATTAACTATAATTAACTATATTAATCAAATTATCCCACGCATCATTGTGTATAATTTGGAGCTTATAGAATTCACTGTAACTGCGTCGGCGTGTACGTTTTGTACAACACGATCACTGAATCATGATGCATAGAGTTCATATGCTTTGATATAATAAGATTGTCCACATTTCAGTTATTTACATGTAGTATGACTGATAAATAATTACACATCACATAAATCAACGACGATATAAACGAAATGATGTTCATCGCTAGCAAATATCAGGTGAATGAACTATTGTGAACTTTAAATCACCATATTAGATAATTTCACCCCTCCGTTTTCTCCCTGTAATGCTCTACAATCAGTGCCTTCTTTGCATTCAATGCGTTCACCTCCCTTCCTGTCTGCTGTCAATGCGTTCCCCTCCCTTCCCGAAAAGCTTTGCAATCAATGCGTTCACCTCCCTTGCTGTCTGCTGTCAATACGTTCCCCCTTCCCGTAAAGTTTTGCAATCAATGCGTTTACCTCCCTTCCTGTCTGCTGTCAATGCGTTCCCCTCCCTTCCCGTAAAGCTTTGCAATCAATGCGTTCATCTCCCTTCCCGTAAAGCTTTGCAATCAATGCGTTCACCTTCCTTCCTGTCTGCTGTCAATGCGTTCCCCCCTTCCCGTAAAGCTTTGCAATCAATGCGTTCACCTCCCTTCCTGTCTGCTGTCAATGAGTTCCCCTCCCTTCCCGTAAAGCTTTGCAATCAATGCGTTCCCCTTCCTTCCCGTAAAGCTTTGCAATCAATGCGTTCACTCCCTTCCTGTCTGCTGTCAATGAGTTCCCCTCCCTTCCCGTAAAGCTTTGCAATCAATGCGTTCCCCTTCCTTCCCGTAAAGCTTTGCAATCAATGCGTTCATCTCCCTTCCTGTCTGCTGTCAATGCGTTCCCCTCCCTTCCCGTAAAGCTTTGCAATCAATGCGTTCACCTCCCTTCCTGTCTGCTGTCAATGCATTCCCCTCCCTTCCCGTAAAGCTTTGCATTCAATGCGTTCTCCTCCCTTCCCGTAAAGCTCTGCCGTCAATGCGTCCCCCTCCCTTCCCGTCTGCAGTCAATGCGTCCCCCTCCCTTCCCGTAAAGCTCTGCAATCAATGCGTTCCCTCCCTTCCCGTGAAGCTCTGCAATTAATGCGTCCCCCTCCCTTCCCGTCTGCAGTCAATGCGTTCCACTCCCTTCCCGTAAAGCTCTGCAGTCAATGGGTTTCCCTCCCTCCCCGTAAAGCTCTGCTGTCAATGAGTTTCCCTCCCTCCCCGTAAAGCTCTGCTGTCAATGCGTTCCCTCCCTTCCCGTAAAGCTCTGCCGTCAATGCGTCCCCCTCCCTTCCCGTCTGCAGTCAATGCGTCCCCCTCCCTTCCCGTCTGCAGTCAATGCGTTCCACTCCCTTCCCGTAAAGCTCTGCAGTCAATGAGTTTCCCTCCCTCCCCGTAAAGCTCTGCTGTCAATGAGTTTCCCTCCCTCCCCGTAAAGCTCTGCTGTCAATGCGTTCCCTCCCTTCCCGTAAAGCTCTGCCGTCAATGCGTCCCCCTCCCTTCCCGTCTGCAGTCAATGCGTAAACCTCTTCAGGCAATGCATCCCCTTTTCTGTAAAGCTTTGCGGTTCTGCAATCAATGCGTCCCTTTCTGCAAAGGTAAAACTCTGCAATCATTGCGTTCTTTTCCACTCCTGTAAAGCTCTATGTACAGTGTAGTGTTCATTAAGTACATTGCATTTCTTGTGACAGTGATCTCATTGTTAAGACTATTCAAAACGAATTCCTCAACATTTAATCTATTTTACAAGTCATGCTCTACGTAAGCAAAATTTGTTTCATTTCACACATTAAACAGAGCTTTGTGAGTAGGCGGTCATCACAGTTTGGCGCCCCTAAAATTGTTCTCAAAGCGTCACATACCGGTAGGATTAATAGTGAACATTATTTCCTTGACTTGACAACTCTCGCATAGCAAAGTGACCGAATGTAGGGTGGTTCTTAAACACACACAGACCATCAGTACATAATATGTCTGTGTTCTACCGTCTCACAAGTAATACGAAATTTGAGAGGGATCTATATGTGGTAATGAAACAAGATTGCTTAACGTATATATGTTGTTGTTGTTGCCCAGACTGCATATTTTATCAGAGGCCTAAGCCTGTAGAATTTTGCGAAAACAAGCTTAGTTTTATTTCTTGGGTACTGTGAGTAGCGCGACTTTGTTTTCCCTGAATGTGACACTATCATTGTTAAAGGCTGTGCAACGATCATTTCTATAAGCTCAAATGTGACCTTCATGATTGTGCACGTATTTCCATGGTGTTTTCCTATGCCGTTTGTGATGTACATGAAGGTCATCTAAACGTACACGTGACATACTATAAAACACGTCAATATTACAAACTATTGTCTTTACTGATATCATCCAACATGTTGCTGGTTGAAACCAACATTGACAGATATTTATATATTACAATTGTTTGCAATGCCTGTACAATGCCTGTACAATGGACATCTATTTTTGTTCGTTGTGTGTTCCTTTGAAATAATATTCAAATTGGATGGCACCTGTGTGCATGGTGTACGTCATAACGTAACCAGCCTTCGATGATGGATTGTTTCTATAAATGCCTACACGATATTTATTTAGACACTACATATCAA